GTCTTCGTAATCTCCTGTGAAAAGCCTTAGTTTATATGTGCGTACGTGTGTGTTTATATGATAAATTCTCTCTATGAGAAAGACCCGAGTAATCGAAGCTGACAGCCTTAATTCCATGGACGCGTTACTTTTTTCAAGATGCAATTCGCATTATTCGCCGAGACGCGTTGTCTCGTTGAAATGTGCTCGCGGAAGTATGCAAAAGCTCGAACGTTGAAAGGACACTCAGTCCTCTATTAAGTGCCAAGTTAAATGCGATATATTAAATGTAATTGAATTAGAGTGCAATATTAAATGTGTCAAACTGCGCATGAATAATATCTACGAGCACGGAATAACGTCGGGAATGCTGCACGGTCGTCGTTATAACGCGGACAGTTAATATGGATTGTTACGCGGACTACCATTGTTGCATCAGTTATTTCCCGGCCGTGGGAACTGGATTCTCTGGAATTTCAGAACCCGCTTGCCTGGCGTAGGCAACTGTGATTGTTAGGTATTCATTATGGTAGTTTAATTTCTAATGGTCGCTGCCGCCGTCTCGCCACTTGTCGAACTTTGTCGTCGCCACAACGCGACTTCCGTCGTTCGTTTATCCCCGCGGGCGACGAAGAGTCCAAAATGCAGGTGTACACCTTGCCACCATCAGGTGTAAACCTTGCACGTCTGTATTTCACTACGTTATTTTAACGAACGTGCTACACGTGGCTGCGTTCGAATGACTGAGTGAGTGAGTCGTGCAAAACCCATTTGAGCAATTTGCTTTCGCACGCGGAATTGCGAAATGAGACGTAATGGCGCAACCTGTCGTTACAACAGGCCGCCTAATTACTGCGAACAAAGAACGTAGTAACGATACCGCGAGCTCTCTTATTCCTATTCAGTATGAATCCAAACAAAGTTACGTATCCCGCACCGACGTTCGTTTCGCGTCGGGTAGCAACACGATCACGTACGGAACTCCACTTAATTAGAATCTCTCGCGCGTGGTATTGTGCTCCACCAATTCATTAGAATTCGCCAATTGGAATTTTCAAATAATAAAGAGAGTGGGATGCACGTTTCGGCTTTCATATTGTGCTTTCGAATCGACAAGATGTGTGGAGGTGAACGTGGGATTGTGCACCTACACTTTTTCGCTAAACGATTTCAACACATTTCTTCCGATAAAATTAGTAGAGACCTTAAAGGGTCTCTGCTAATTGCAAGTTGTTTACGAGCTTGCATGATAGTCGGTTATGACAAAATGACACAGTTGAGTCGCGTGGATTCTTCTTTAAATCTGATCTACAATAAGCTCTTTATGTTCTGTTTTTTATCTTCTGTCTTTTTCTGGTTTAAAGCTTAAGGTTTGAGACAGAAAGAGATAAAGAGAAAGAGGCAGAAAGCAAATAACACATTATAGATCAAGTTTTATTTGATTTCGGAATCAGACAGAAGAATCCATACGGCTCAAACCCGGAAACCAAATCCAATATTCATGGACACCGCGAAAGTCTCAAATATCAAGGTGAAACAGTATAAGTATTTGTCCTGTATTATATTCTTATCTAATAGATAAGAATATAATAAGAATATAATTACGTTTCTCCCGAATTTTTCATTGCAATTGTGATGTCAAGTATCTATATACATACAGAATTTTATAGTAAAAATTAAAATTAAAAGATAGTAAAAATTAAAACCTCAGAGAGTAAAAATTAAACATTAGAGAAACAATGTTCAAGTTATATATCGCGAGTGTTGATCAATAATCGCCTAATTGACTACTCGTATTCTTCTTCGCGATATTATTTAATTGACGCGCACAGTTGTAACAGAACTTAGTGCGTCAGTTTCCTGAATATTAAACCCAGTTCGAGGATATTGAAATTCTTGAATTTCAAGATCCATATTTCGAATCCAGATTAGCATCTTCCGTGATTGACACGTGGAGATAGACTTTATTTAATTGGACCCTTATGAAGCATTAGCATCCGATTTATTGGAAAGCTCACTACGCAGAAGTTTGCGTGTTCCGGGAAACTTCAAATTTGAAGATACGACGCGCTGAAATCTCGAGTCAACGAGACCGGAGTAAAATTTTATCCTCAAATTTAAATAAAATTTCTCCCGAGTCTTCGTCACAAATCGCATTAGATCACTGATACTCTTTGTAGGATGAAAGTAACCCCGCTTCCGCGCGAGAGTTCGATTCCGCTTCTCCACTTCCTTCACTGACTTCAACTTACAACTGATATTTGAAATCGTCAAAAGTACCGCGATATCGACTTCAAATTTCAGCTTCACATTTGAACCGCGGCGTTTCCGGATCGACATCAATTCTCCATCGAGCTTCGACTCGATCTCGACTATTTACATTCATCACATTGGCGAAATGTTCCCAGCCTCATTGAGCAACTTACTATCGACCATGTCGAACAAATTTCTTTTCACAGAGAGTCTTTTGACCCTTCCGTCTCCCTCTTCTCGCTGGTGCTTATTACATTAACATAAGAATGGGCGCGCACTTACGGCACAGCAGCGCCAGTGAAATCGAGCCGGAGTTAGTAGTGCCTATTTGGACGAGTCGCATTTGCATTCTCTAAGGGGAGGAAAAGTCCTCAAAAGGGGATTGCTGGAGTAGACGCCGCCGACCGTGTCAGTGTCCTGTCCAACTTTGTTTTCGTGATTCGCCTTCGCGACGAGAATCCCGTATCGATTGGCGGCGTCTTCTATTTACCAGGCGTGAGACTACGTGCTCCTTGCATGTGCGAGGGGAATTACGCGAACCATATAGGTACAACTATCTGTATTAATCAGGTATATATCGGTAGTGTATTCCGTTATCGGCGTTTGATTCATCTCACCATTGAGTATAGACCATAAACTCGAAGAGGTAAATATACTCTCCAAAGCATAATCGACTGTGTGCTTCAATACTACAATTTTTTACTGAGATGCTATACTTATAAATGATGACTCAGTCACCGCATTTAGTCAGCAAAATCTCACTGAAAGAATCAATTGATAGTAACGACAGCCAGTATTATTAATGCAGTTTGCAAACGTAGAAAATGCTGTCACGTGCAAATTGCGGAAGCTGTCAATTCCGTTACCCCGTAAACAGGAAATTGGATTTCTACAACAATTTGATTGGATTGGTACAACAAATTTATCCATTACAGATTTTGCGCAGTGAAATTTTACTTTGACTGGTCAAAATCAGTGAGATGTAAGATGGAGCAGTAAGGAGGGAGTGTTTCCACAGAAAGCCAACAAATATTTCCTGATTATCAGTGAAATACATTTCTTCCTAATTCAGTCGGAAATATTTTTACTGATTCACTTTGAGAGAGTAAATTCGAGAGCACAGAAACACTCGTAATACGACATTGCCATGATAATAAACAAATCAGACAGAAATAGTAAAGAATAACAAAAGAGTAAAAACAATGCGTATATACGGATACACATACACCCACATACTGCGGGGAAGAACTTGTTGAACGTGACGACACCTTGGCAGTTGCAGCGCGGCGATTTCTATTTTAAGCAAGCCGAGAGACGCTTTTTTCGCTCGGCCGTTAATTCGTGCCATTTGTTTCATGCACGCGTTATGATGCAGCCCGACGTAATTCTGGAGTTCCGTTTTCCCCACGTAGAGAAACGTAGCCGTTTCCCTATCCTTAATAGCGCTACCACGTCGCTTATTGCGTCAACAACAAGCTGGTTCTGCCTGGCGACCGGCTAGGACGCAGCACTTCCAAGAGGAATATGGAATTACGTGCAGTTAGACGAGAATTTCACTATGTCCCTCGCGTAATTTTTCAGAAGTCAGTTTCCTCCTTGTAACATGCAATCTAAGTATGTAACTGCAAAAGAGCAATACTTGCTCTTTGCCGCTGTCATACGATTTTTCCTTATTTTTCTCTCTTCCTTCTTGTGTTTCCGTTTCCATTAGCTAATTTCGGTTTTAGATAAATAAATCGCGTTTTATTTTCGTCGGCGTCATGCGCACCAATATAACAACAACGAGACAGTAACGAGTCTTTGAAGCGTATTACACGTTTGTGTGTTAGTTTAACCCGATTTCCCGACAAAACGCCGCGATGGCGTATAATTGTTTTCCGCAAAATAAAACTATCTCGATGCGTAGATTTTATCCGGGAAATTGCCGCGTACAATAATTTCCCAAATCTCGTTTTGGCAAAAGTTATACGGAAAGTAATATCCTACTGTCGATATTCATATTTCCGCAACTATGTGTGTATATATCGGATAAACTCGCATGAATTCAGCCCGGCGAGAGGCGTTTTAGGTGTTCGCCGCGCGAACTCTCAGACATTCTCTCCGTGCAAAAGCACTCAGGGCACTTTTTGCGGGAGAGGATAAGGCGGGAGAGGGCTGTTAAACATCAATTATTATTATCTCGGACAGAGTTGTGGCTAAACGAACATCATAAACGATCCCACGGTCTTCGTGGCCACATTAAGCCGCGGGGTCGAATAATATCACCCTCGCAGCAGCACGTCATTCTCCTCCCACGATAAATACCACTCTCTCTCTCTCTCTCTGCCTCTCTATCTCTCTCTCCCTGCCTCCGCAACCGCCGCCGCGGTTTCTCTTTCTCTCTCTCCCTCCACCGTGACTACCCTCCTCGCATTACATCAACAGTCTCGACGGTGGGTCCGCACTTTCATTATGGGGTAGCGAGATGCCAGGGGGTGTAACCGGGGAAGAAACCCGGCCTTTCATCCTTCGTATGGACCGTTACCCCCTGATATCCTTCGTTCGTGCGAAAGTCCTAGCAACCCTTAAAGTACCGCGGGCCGCCGTCGCCACGGCCACCACCGCCACCGCCGCCACCGCCACCACCGCCGCCGTCGCCGCCGCTGCCACCGTCACCGCCGCCGCGTTCTGCCGCGGTATCCATAGCGACCAAGCACATGCGCGATGGGGTGACTCGGGCCATCCGCCGTGGAGCACACCACGGGGGTGGTTTTTCGTGTTGGCACACCCGGGCGGTTGGCTGGGCGGTGTCTGCGGCCTTCACTTTCCTCCCGAAAATCGAAGGCTACGGGGGTGGTAGTCTTGTCCTTTTTTCCTTCGTCTCTTCATCACCTTCTTCATTCTTTACTCTTCTTCTTCTTCTCTCTCTTTCTTTTCCCCTTCTCTCTGTCTTTCTCCGTCTCCCTGTTCGTATCCCTCTTTTTCTCCCTCCGGTATTATTGTTCCTCATCTTAGTCTTAGTCTCCACGTCTTTCGCTTTCCTCCGTCTTCACGTCGTGTTATCAGCGCGTCTTTTCTCGCGTCTTCTCTCGTGAGCGTCACGGCGGGTACACGTGCCACTTGCGGGACATGTGAGAGCGTTGTATACAGGTGCATCTGCCGCGAACGTGCACGTGTTGAAACAACGAGAAACAATGGAAGTGTCGTCACGGCTCGCTGACTGTCCGAGGAAGGCTCGCTCGTCCTGTGCGCGGTAGCCAGCGACGCGGGCTGAGGGGCTCGCTCCTGTCGTCTATAACACTCGCAGCAGACCTTCGATGAGCTTCGGAGAAGCACCCTCGAAGGACCTCGACAAGGAACGATCTCGCCGAGGCCGCGGCTGAAGAGCCAAACGCGCCAACACGGCTTCGCCGCGGCGCGAAATCGCACACCGCGTGCTGTGTGCGCGACGCGGATCGGCTAAGCGTTTCCGCTGCGCCAGTGAAACTTCCTGGTCACGTGAGAGCGGCGAGAGGGCGGCGAGGGCGCGAACGGCGAGGAGGGGTGTGTGCCAGCCGAGCGGTGTAGTCAGCGATACGGCTAGGGGCGATACGCGTTCCGCGTGGGAAGCCGCCGATGAGTTTCCCGATCTCCCCCGGCTGCTGAGAGGGCAACTCGTGCGCGCGGCACGCATCGATCGATCATCCGGACACCTATCCTCGAAGATCACCGCCCGTCAGTCTCCCTCTCGGCTGTCTCCCGACGAGGCTGCGACGGCCGCGAGAGTTCTCGACGGAGCGAGGGCTGTGCATCCCGTCGCGTCGCGCTACACCGATCAACGACGAGTCCCATTGTCGTCCTCGTCCTCGTTGTCGTCGTCGTCGTCGTCGTCGTCGGCGCGGCTGGTCCACCCTCTGACAAGCTCGGCTCCTTATCATGAGCTCCAGACGAAGACGTCGAGTGCCGGGCGCGCTGGCAAAACAGCTGACGCGCGACGATACACACGCGCGGTTTGCGACGTGATCGGACGGCTAGCGCGGTGATTCAGATGTTGATACGCGCTTTGCGACCCACACACACACCAGTGACCAGCGCAAGTGCGGCGGATCGAATCGAAAGGACCGTGCGTGGTCCTCCAGCCCCGCAGGATTGCGCGCCGATGCATGGATGCGTCCGGCTTCGATCTAGAATGACCTGATTCCATCTTCGGAGCGAGGATCGATCCTGGAGAGTGTCCTTCTCTGCCTCTGTCACCGTCTCCGTCTCTCTGCCTCTCCCCGTCGCTCTGTGTGTGTATGTGTGTCTCTTTCTCTCTCTTTCTCCGTGTCTCTCTCCGTTTCCCCGAGTGCCCGTGTCTCCGTTTTCCTCCTGGCGGGCTCTCGTTGTCCGGAGGAACGTGTCGCGGCGTGAACCAGGACGCAGCCAGTAACGGATCTTCATGGTCGGCGCGGATAGTCTCGTCGCAGCCCCTGACACCACTGCCAAGATCGATCATTGTCAAGTAGATTGTGCGATCGCGCAAGGTACCGCGCGGACACCGCAAAGGTATACACCCTCTTTCCCTCGTCTCGTCGATCCGGACGAGGATCGAAGGGACCGCCACTTTGGCGCGCCGCAACAATTGTGTACAGCTCAAAATCGCAAGTGCAAGTCTCGAGTATTGCTCGCCGGAAAGCTTCCTTGTCTCGTCTCTCGGGAAGCTTTCTGTTGTTCTTATTATTCCAATACACAGGTCGTCGAGGAGCGGCGCAATTGAAGAGTGGAAATGCCAAAAGGTGTCGAGCGCCACGATGCACTGCGCGTCATTATCTATTTCGTATTCTCACTCTTCAATTCGATAGCCGAGAGAAACCGCCGTAAATATCTAGCCCAGATATTTTATTAAAACAATCGAGGCACGCGTACGTGTGTGTGTGTATGTTACGAACCGCGCCAGGATGTTACCTTTTCCTCTCCCTCGCCTACTAAGTATATAAAGTTGTTCTTTATGAAAAATTAAATCAGGGAGTTCTGAATCATTTCTTTCTACTATGCTTAAGGAAATAATTATTTTTAATTTAAATTCCAGCTAATCAGCGTCGTCCTTTAGACGGCCACATGCTGTGAATCGTTTAGGCTGTTTAGGCGGTGAAGCACTCACTATCGGATGCACGACTCACAGATATACGCCCGTTTAAAGAACACCGTTGAAGGATACTTCTAATATTTTCGGTTACTTCTAATATTTTCTAACAAGAGAGTTACAAGAGAATTAAGCAAGCAAGATTTTTAAACAAAGATGGCTTTGAAAATCCTGCCTGCTTGATTCTGAAATCTATTACGGTCCGTCTACAATGGCAGTGAAGTATGGCTATAAGAAGTAAGAGTAAGAAATTAACCAATCATAGTTGATTATTCTTCCCACATTTGACTATAATTGATCAATTTCTTACTTTTACTTCTTAGAGCCCGTACTTTACTTCCATAGAGCTTTAAAGAATGGCAGAAATGATCGATTTTGCTAACTTACTCCGATGGCCAAATAACTCCAGTCTTCTCTATTGGAAAATAACTGCTTCATTGAGCATAGTAGAAAAAGATGGTTCAGGACTTTCTGATTTAATTTTCCATAAGGAATATGTACTTAGTAGGCGGAAGGAAAGATAACACTTAATACACATATAGACACATGTATGAATTTCCATGATTCCGTGCACGACCCGCGGGAGAAGTCGCGCTCTCGCTCTATTGCTCATCCGCCTTTTCATGTCGTTTCTCTTCCTGCCGCACTCGCAACGCTCAGCCCGTCCCGCTCAAGTTAATTCCGCACCAGCCAAGTCGATACAACACACCCGGTAAACGCTTCGAAATGCAACGCGCCCTGGACATCGTGGCCTCTCCCGCCCGATGAATATTCCGGTCGATCCGTTAACTGCAAGTACTCGCGACGCCCAGTGTACATACGTGTGTGTGTATGTGTGTTTGTGTGCGCTCGCGCGCGAATGTGTGTCCTTGCACGTGTGCACGTACGCAGGACGACGATGAGCGTTTGCATAATGTCCTTCTCTGTCGAGAGTGGACCTCTACAAGCGTGTCTAACTCTTCCGCAAACCTCGAGTACGTCCTTCCGCCACGCGCCGCTTAACGAGGCGCTAATTAGAGGCGGCATCGATTAAGTTCCCGGTAAACACGCAGCTTCTAATGGAATTGCGCGTTCTTTATTCCGCTCGTCTCCTCTTCACCATCCTCCGTTCCTTCCGTCTTCGAGCCGGGCCTTCTAGGCGACATTTCGTTTTGTTTACCGACTAAGCTCGGAGTGGATGTTATCGTCGTCGTTGTTGTCGGGCGACGTCATATCCACCCTCCGTTGTCACATTGGAAATTTCCAGAGAGTCCTGCGCCACACACACATATACACACACATACTCGCGAACATCCGTGCTGGTGACACACAGATCGGCCGTAGACGCGATTTATCCGCGTTCCGGCGTATCGCGGAGCGGCACAACAGCCATCCCACAACCCCTGCAGCGTTTCTTTGGTTATTGCATCCATTATTGCCGCGCGAAATATCGATTTGCCGACTCCACCGGTTCGCACGATTGTCCGACATATATACAGCGGAATGGAACGCACATGAGCACGCGCCTATGACCCTCTTTTATTATTAATTCGCGCCAAGCACCTATCGCTTTTTAACGAAATACGTGCGCGTTACATCTAACGGAGTCGGCCGGGAGAATAGATCGCGAGCACGGAGCACCTACCGTGGGAGGAGCGCTCGAATAATGGAAAGCGCCTTCTTACTTGCAGGGAAAGAAAAAGGAACAGATTAAAAATCCATTAATTTTACAACAGGAACATCGTAAGATCCATGGATACGGCGGGAGGATCAAGTCCCATAATTAACGCGCGTTTCGCCGTCCCGCGAAATGAGCGAGGGACGGACACGAAGGTGTCTTTAGGAATAACGTGGACAAAGTAATTACGCAGAACGTTATATTCCTTTTTTCTATTAGGAAAATGCACCCACGGCGGTGTAACCGCGAACATGATTAATCGATATCGATGAGGTTAAAGCCGAACGATTCTTTCGCGCGCGCGCGCGGCTTGCCCGTCTAATGATCCATCCATCCGATAATATGTGCAACTTTCACTTCGTTAACAAGCTCGCTCGCTGCCCGGCAATCGTGCGGAGCCTGGATTAAACCAACCGGAACATGAAGGGTGATTCTTTAGCCCGCGTGCGGCCTTAAGGGGAGTCGAAATCTTTAGTGACAGAACAGATTTTTCTCTGCAAAGTTTACGTTGTATTGGCTGCACAGAATTATAAATTCTTTTACACAATAAAAATATGCGCAGAAATGAATTGAAGCATCGTCGAGTGTATGACAAAAACGATAAAAAATTTTGGAGTTGACATTTCGAGTATCAACCTGTCAGGCGCTATCAGTTAAAGTCAATATTCTCTTGAAAATAAAGATTTATAAATTATATATGCTGAACATGAGATTTGTTCCGCTCAGAAAAATTTTGAAAAACATTACTGTAGCTTTGCATCTTCTGAATTCAGAAGCTTAAGAATATGGAAAAGATTTCTACACATACGTGGTTAGATTATTTACTGAATATAGTAAAACAAAGCAACATACTTTAATTTGTGTTTCACTCATAGATTCCAAACACGAATAACCAAGTTTTCAGCAAAATTTTATATAAATTTGTTGCTCGACGCGCTCGATCATTGTAGAGAAAATAGAAATGCGACGTTCACAGTTTTCGATATTTACACAACTGCGTACCATTGTCGACTGAAGAGCTACAGGGTCGCTTTGATAGAGACACTTACAAAGGTTCCCCCTAAATGGCGAATATTCGTTTTCTACAATAACAAACCCAGGTACGGAAATATTGGCGGACAGATCGGGTACTTTTTCCGAAGACTTCGTATATAATAACTCCGTTTCCTTCGCTGTTCGTCTTGCTCGCTGCGCGTCGGAAATAAGGGAGGAGAATCATTTTCGCTTTCGTCGCGCGCGCCGTGTCTAATAAATTTCACAAATGAAGGGACGATTGCGGGACCGGCGACAGGCTGGCTGAGAATGTGGTGAATTTTCCCGCAATTTGTCGAACGTCTGCTTCGTATGTATTATTAGCCTCATTGTGCAACGGCCTGCGTCGGTCTTATTATTGGTCCGATTATAAAACGACCGTACAATTTCGTCGACAAAGAAATTACAGGATTCGCATCTCCAAACGGCTGTATCGTCTGACGAACGCTCGAAGTTTCGAAAGCTTTCTTATTATCCGCGAGATCTGAAGCTTTAACAAGCACATTTTGAGCACAAGCTACTTATTTTTGAATTTAGGGCGAGCCAAGGAGGACTATATGACAATACTTAACACGGCTCCTTAATTGCTTTATTTCGAGGAAGTGACATCAAAGCGATACATCTCTTTCGGAAGAAACGCTTCGTTAATTTTTCATTCTAAGATGCTTAAGCAAGAGTCCGTTACGTTTACTTTTCCACTGCTCCATCTCTCTCTCTCTCTCTCTCTCTCTCTCTCTCTCTCTCTCTCTCTCTCTCTTTCTCTTTTTGTGCTTTTTGTCAAATATTCTTGTCCTCCTTGACAATTTTCAGACTAACTTTAAACTACCTCGCCATATTATGTAGATTTAATTTCCCCGAAATGTTATTTCCTTCCACTCGAATCCCGACATTACCGCAAGCTGCCTGTTGTTACGAATGCATGTCGCCCAGATCGACAACGGGCAAACCAACTCCCAAAATTACGTGTAATTGCAAGCATAAAATAGTGAGTATCACATATCACATGCGGGCGGAAATTGAATGAGGCTACGGTCGAACTTTTCGATTTCCACTCCACGACACTGTTGTTGCCGCGACTACCGCGTTGAACACAATTAACGCTGAATCGTTAATGAATAATAACACGGCGTCTCGGGTCTCCAAAGCTCACGTCGGAAACATTTAATCGAACTTTAACGAATGACCTCGATTCGGGTGCGGGCACGGCATTACAGGTTCCGTGCGTCGTATAAAGCACCATACTTAGAGAGGATCCCCCATTAAAATGCGATATAATTTCCTCGCCTCCGCAAACCCTCCTATTTTTTTCACGTTTCTCCAACTTTTCTCGGCCTCCTTCCCTCCAGCCACCTCACGGTTTCTTTTATTTGTATCGCCTTCGACAAATATATATATATATTTTTTCTTTCCTCAACAGCGTGCGCAATCACCCTTTGTTTGTCAGGGGAGAAAGTGGTAGTCGCGTGGCTAATGTCAGAAAGGCAATTTCAGGTTGTGTCATCCCATTTCCCACCGCGTGATATATGACGGTTGGAGATAGACCTTCCCTACCTCGCGTTACATGACTAAAAATTTATCCCATGATCCTGATCAGGTCGACCCCAATCAGTCATGTAGCTCACGTAAGATGATGTTATCAGGTTCTGATAGGTTATATAACGTAGCAACCAAGATCTTATTGATAACAAGGATTTCATTAATAATTCATCAATAGGGATAATTAAACTTACAGAG